CCAACTGATTTCATTTTGATGAAAAAATTGGTTTAGATAGCAATAAACAATATTTTAAACTAATAACAGTACCAATAAATGCCAAAAAGAAAAGAAAAGCGTTTTTTATTAAAGACGTATGTGTACTAATTGTCCTATTTACCATAGGCCACAATGTTGCCTATGGTGAGGGTGCGTACATACGTCTTTAATAAAAAACGCTTTTCTTTTCTTTTTGGCATTTATTGGTACTGTTATTAGTTTAAAATATTGTTTATTGCTATCTAAACCAATTTTTCATCAAAATGAAATCAGTTGGGCACAGGTTTACAATATTATAATATTTATTTAATAACATAGAATACGAATATTTTTTAGTTCTCGAGCCTGACGTTCTCGAACTAATTTTTTATGCTGTACACGATGCACATATTGAAATCTTCGCGACCCTGTATCCTGTATAAAGTGAGCGGATCTGAATGGAAGTACCCGTTCGCTAGTGGACCATCTACAACACCTTTTGAATATCTCTCTGATTTGATGTGTAAGCTTCGTAATCTAATATAAACCTAGAAAGTTTTCTCGAGTTCCAAACGTTCTCAGAGGTCTAAAACTATTTCTAAACACCAGAAAATGTTCACGCTTCCCTACGCTCGGCATTCGCAGTAAACATTATTTCAGCCATCTCTATGAATCTTTTCTCTTTAATGTAAAAAATAATTTTCTACTTTTCTCTCTTGTGACTGGCTTATCCACGGAATATCTGACAGCCATTTTTCGGTATTTTGCGCACACACACACACAGATAGATACATACATACATACCGACAACCATTTGTAAGACCCTAGACTAAAGTCGAGGGAAAAATCAGAGTAAAAGTCCCGCTAAAATACTGAAAACAGTAATGGCTATTTTTGACTTTGCTGATGGAGAAAAGAGAGTGAAAACGAAGAGGTTCAAAGATATCTTTGATGCCATTTTGTAGAGCTCGAAGGGTACTACAAATGAGAGAAAAAGAAAAAAATTTGACTAAATACTTTTTGTGCTGGGAGCTCTAAAATTTGCATAGCTGTCAATTGATACAGTGAAGGTCTATAGCATAAACATGAATTTATAGTATCGACTTACCATACCAATACCACACAAACACACTTTTACGTTTTCACAGTATCACAGTATCATAGTATAACTTTCATAGCTTCACAGTTTCACAGTATCACAGTAATACTGTGAATTTCATAGTATCGCAGTATCATAAAGATCTCGGAATAATGAATAGTCATGAAGGAAAACATATGCATAAAGCACAGTATTAATCGAGAACAAAACGTGTTTTTAGAGAAGTCGTCAAAACTCGCACCGGGGAATAAATTCACCAGTAACTGGATTAGAAAGAAAATTGAGTACAGTATTGTTCAACCTATCTGAAGAAAAGAATATGGACCTATCGTATAACAGTCAGAACAGTCAGCTCACTTATGTCGATGGGGTAAAAAGCATCGTAGTTCATTAACGACGAATGATAATTAGCTAAAAATTATATCATTGTGAAGATCTACTCTTCCTCTATCGGTTCTTCATATGATGTTGATCTTCATATCTGCTATCTTCAATAAGCTAATTAGACCACAATAAAATGTGTCATTCTTTATTTCTCTTTTGGGTAAAAAGAGTTACTCGTTGATTTTAATGGAGTCAAAAGAGTCAATCCGTTGAAACCCGTGGAGATTTCAAAGAAGCATCTGTATAGACTTCCCAGAATCGATTTGAACACTACTATGAATGTAAAAGTTGTCAATAATATGGTCATCTTTATCAGGTGAGAAAACTGGCATTTAATTGCTAAAAAGAGAGAAATTGTATGATAAACTAAATTCTAGGTAATTTTGACCTTGTTCTAGTCGTTCCCAGAACAGAACAATCCGGTACTTTCCTTGGGAAAATTTCCCAGATAACGGGACAATTGTGTTCTATTCTGTGAATTCTTTTCCCACAGACAGAATGTCTTTGTTCTGCTTGTAGGAACAGAAATTTCTCGGACAGTTCAGTTTAATAAAATTTCTTAAGCCCGCGGTACTCCGAGCCACTCCGGCACTCCACGGAGTGCGCTCTTTCCCCCTTGTCAAAATTATCTAGAATTTTAGTTTATAATACAATTTCTCTCTTTTTAGCAATTAAATGCGAGTTTTCTCATATGATAAATATGACTGTATTATTGATGGGGTATGATAAATTATGCTTTGATCCACTTTTCGACCGTAACTTTGCAAGTTTTTCATTAGTTTCAAAAAACAGGTAATTAGGCTTAATTAATAATTTTCAGTTACTAGATGAATTTTACTCCTTTTTCTAAAACACATTTTCTAGAATAGTATGCAATTTTCTACACATTTACATTAGTTTTAACCTTTGCAAACACGTTCAGAGCTCCGAATAACGAATTTTTCTCCATGTCCCATCTTTTCCTGCAAAGTAGTATTTTATATCAAACCTAAGACTTATAATGCGCTTTATTTACCGTTAAAGAATTAGTGAGAAACTTCTTAAAGTACGGAAGTCGACAAAGTTTTGCATGGGCTACTTTCTCATTTATTTGGTTTTCAAGAAAACATTATCCTTCAGACTCTAGTAAAAAAAATAAAGAAAAACGTATGTTACAAGAGCCTTTTTAGCGACATTTGGTATAGTACTTTTTTCTTCCTCAAAGCGAATCCTCAAAATTTTGTTTCCTATATTTTTCGAAGTTTAGGCTTTACTCTTTCAATCAGAAGACGAATGAACTTTCTGCGATGTTCCTGAGTGGAGAACTATGGCTGGAGATTTCGGCAATTACTTTTGCACTGTAGGTTAAATTCACCCATGCGAATTTTGACCCCGTGTAGGATATAAAGAGATAATTAAAATCACCTGACTCCTATTTGAATATATCTGGAAAACCAGTATGAATTTTTTTAGAAAAAATGTCAATTAAGCATTTCTGCATAAAAGATTTCGGAAAGTTTAATTTAATTTTTTTGTTCTATAGAAAAGATCTGGAATTAATAGTAAAAGTTCTCAGACCCGCGTATATTATACCTTCCAAACAGTGCAGTCTTTGACAACATGATTCTTCAATGCGAAACTTATTGCATGAAAGACGACTGTTTGAGCGCATGTATGATGATTATGTACATCCGACGAATAGACTTGATACCCATCTGAACTTTCTTTTGCTTTTAGTTGAAACAATGGGTACTTTTTGTATTCTGAAGATTTATATGTAATCGATGTGCGGGTGTTAAATGTTTCCTTTCTATAAACACAAACATGTTGATCTTTAATGAAAACTGATAAATCGCTTTCATTGTCGCATAAGACCACTTCATTTCATATACGACGTAAGATTTTTAAGTTTACAATTAGAATGAAGTTGAAAATGTTATGACTTCATAATACTGTGTTTTATGCGTATGTTTTCCTTCATGACTATTCATGACCGAGATCTTTTATGCAGAAATGCTTAACTGACATTTTCCCGAGGTCTTTTCTGTTTTTTTTTCCTTTCGAGATTCATTTTGCTAATTTTCCGAGATCTTTGCTGATTTTTATCCATCTTTCAAAAATCTAACGACTAATTGTCTTTGAAGAAGTAATCAAATCAATGAGTAAAGAAATTGAAGTTCCTGTATACGTCTATATAAAAATTATTATAAAATGAAATGTTGTATAACAGTAGAATAAAAATAGTCGTGGAATAATAGCGACCCACCGACCGGAATATATTTTGAAACGCTCTCTTAGTATCTTAATCTAAAATGACATTTCATGGTTAACGTTTATTAATGAATCACGCAATAACACACACACAGCAGCTTGATTAAAGGATGATAAAAGCAATAGTGTAATAGTCTTATTAATAGATAATTTTTCAAACAACTGATTTTCTTCTTGCATTTGCTGTTTTGACTAGTTCATCGACTTCACTCCAATCAATCAAAATGAGAACATCGATATGGTGCAAATTATCGAATATACAGGCCACATATCGATCGCCAACTTTTGGATCAAGCGGTCTTGAATTTTCCAGTTCTTTTTCGGTGGTAATCAACATTGGAGCAATACCTTCACCTAGAAAGAAGAAAAAAATACTAAATGTTTCTGTACTTTTAGAATTAAACACATATGTTTGAATGTTCTCACCTTTTTGTTCATATGAATATTCTTTCATACTTTCATAAACTCTTCCTCGCAAATTTCGAACTGATTCTTTATCAAATCGAAGAACATAATGTTCTGTTGGTGGCATTGTGTGTGTTGGTGGACCCTTTTCAGCATCCGACAATTTTGCCAAAAAAGCAGTTTTCGATTTTTCGATATTTTCCAGAGCCGACTCTTTGCCTCTTAAAATTCCCATTTTAATAATTGGTTTGATAATTTATATAAAAAGAAATAGTTCGTCTTGATTTATCTAAAACTGACAAGCGTTGGTTACACATCCTTTGCATAGAAAGGTAGTAAAAAAGTAATAATCTTGAGAGTGCAATTTTCGAGACTTCGTTTCTGTAATTTTCTCAACACACTTAAAAATATATATGTCAGACGACAGCACTGTTAGTCAGGATAAGTCCAGGTTTCCAAGGCTAGGGCTTTTCTGTAACTAAAAAGTAGTCAGAAAACAAAATTTATTTAGTTGAAATAAGTCGAGTTTAAATATCAAAATCACAAGCTGGCTGCGTTCTCACGAAACGCTTCTTATGAGCGACAGTGTTTTGTCAAAATAGTTAATAATATCTTAACAATATGATTAACTTTGACGTTTTGCACAATTTAGAATATCAGCTGAAAGCTGCCACTACTTAATTTTTCAAGTGCGTATTATTTAACACATTAATATTGAAAGCAGTGTACGGCACTGTCAGTTTAACAAATTTTTCCGTTTAAAATATTATGGCCATAAATGATTCCTGAACAACTCGAGTAAAGTTGAGAAGAAAAACTATCGGACTTTACTTATTACCATTCGATAAGAGAACACTTTAAGCATCTGTACATAAGCGTCATGTCACACAGGCTTACATATACGACGCACAAAATGTAGGATAAAGTGTGGTTAAAGATGCCTTATTACAGACTCTTCCTTCAGGTAGATTCTCGTTCTTTTGTCTCTCTGCTAGAAAGTTTTCGCTCCACTAATCTTGTTGGAGAATATTCAGGTGAATCCTAGAACATTCTTCTCGTTTACTATGAATAAGACTGGTATCTTGGGCCAGTGGATGATTTAATCTCGAGGCAGATAACGCAACTGATGACCAAATATGCGAGCGAACATTCAGAAGCGATTGCAAAGTCGACCGACCGATTCGTACGTGAAGTTCGGAACGAAATGCTATCCTGTCGTTCAGAACAAATCATCAACACTGACCAAATGGACATGAAAAAAGAACTGTACTCCGCTTGATTATTGAGCTATGAGGGCAAGAGGCTCACTGTGGCGGTCGTCAAATCTCACAATGCTATCTCCTACAGTTACATGATTCAGTCAATAATAAATTCAGCTGAACACATCCTTCTGGTCGAATCGATGCGGGTAACTCAGGTGCATCTTGTCTTAAGTCCATGGATGCAAATGGCTCGAAATTCCACTGAAGACAACGGACCGAATGTAGCCCCTCGATGTTGACTACAACTGGCAGACGAAGATGATTTTTTGACACGCCTATGGCAGATTCATGCTCGATCAACTGCCGATCTCACTGAATAAACGAAACAACATCATAACGCTTGTTTCCCTTGCATATAGTCAAATGACTGCACAAGTATTCGCGGTCTTATCGGATACGCGTGATTTGTCAGTGGCTATGTCGATCAGCAACCCGGCCAGATCGAAAATATTCAACAAGTCTGCTTTCCACGAAAGTTTATGCCATCGCGAAAACCAGTCATTCTCCCTTCATCACCCGAAGTTGCTGACAGCAAGCTCACTTCCTTGTAAGTTATCATATTGATTAGTCCAACTATCAGATATTTCACATGAATATAAAAGCATGAACACCTCCTTCACTGTCTATATGAGCGAAAAATTCAACATCTTAAGATCCTTAGGGTTAGTCGGACTGAAACTTTTGGTACAGCTACTCCGGTGTATTTGCGAAAACGTTTTGGTTGCTCAACGAAGTACAGAGCGCGAAAACGTTTTGGTTGCTCAACGAAGTACAGAGCGCGAAAACGGAAAAAATCCATAAAACATTAGTTCTTGTTATGCACAAAGCAAAAACTCGATAATGTCGACAAGGAAAGACGGTGGCCATGAAATATTTTTATCTTTTTCTATTCTCACCAATGTCTTTATGTAGTCAAAATATGAGGTTAAAATCGATCCGACAGTTGGGGACATTGCCTTGTAAGTTGAAAATCATTTCATAAAATATACCTCTTAGCAGCTAAAAACCCAACTGAATCATTCGAAGTGTTACGTATAAAGCGTCTATGAACATCAAGCACTCTGACTATGAACGGTGTTTTCTGCAAAATTTTGAAAATTTGTTCACTTTGATTTGAACATGGCCTAATGTGGTGGAAAATCTGGACTACAAAATAAGACCACTCCCAGCATTTCACAACCTTTTTGCAAACGTTAGAACTTTTAAGTATTAAAAAGACAAAAAGCTCAGTTTCTTTTAGTTCGAATGTGTGAAAATAAACGAGTAAACAAATAGACCGTTATCCAACAGAAATTTTAGCTGAAGTTGAATAATTTAACGTCAAAATGGATGTGTACTTAAGGGCTCGCCCTCAGACACGGCGATTTTCGGTCAAACAATCGAGTTTGAGATACGCACATGGGAAGATAGCCTTAAGTCTCTACTTTCAGAATCGGTATCGCTTTTGGTTACAAAAGTGGTTTTTCGCGGATTTTGAGCAAGTTTTTCTAGGAGCCTAGAAAAACCGAGTCTTAAAATAATAGGTTTTTCCTGGATACTTATGTAATTAAAAATTTTCTGAACGCGCAGATTTGTAGAGCAAACTTTTCCGATCACAATAAGACTTCGCACAACTCTGATGACCTTGCATCAAAACGTCAGAGGCATTGTCCTAAAATTGAGTATTTCATACTGCGTTTAGTACAGCATTTTCTCCATATAAGAGTTACACCTGAAGTGTGTCCCAAGATTTTTAATAGCGGTTTGTCCTACAGATTTTTATTCTTTTTTTGTTTAAAAGAGGAAAAGAAATTACATGGACTGACCGGCGTCGATTTTTGAATTAGGTCTTAGTTTTTTGTCAAACTGAAGATTTTTAGAAAATTCGAAAGGACTTTTCGGGTTTTGGAGGTTGTTGATTATCTAGAAAATCAATAAAGGCTTAATTGAAAAATCGGCGCCGGTCAGTCCATGTAGTTAGGTGTCTAGTTTAAAATAAAACAAAGCCAAACTCTCCAACGTAAAGTATATTAAAAAATCTTAGGACACACATGAGGGTCCTTTTTGGACCTTGATCTCAAAACAAAAAGGCGAATAATCCGACCGTCGATATATCGAGTAATATATTGGGCAAGCTAGATATATTGGGTTATCTAGGTATATTGATTATGGTATTGGGTTAGCCAGCTTGGATTGCCCAATACTCAATACTTTCTTTTACCTGTATCTAGGTATATTGGGTTACCCAATATACAAATTGGATTGATCTGTTATAGCCCATTATATCTGTTATACATCCAATCCAATACCCAAATTGGGTATTGGATTGGATTACCTAAATAGGATTGCCCAATACTCGATACTTTTTATTCGCTTGGGGGATTATACACATTTCCTCGACAAAAAGTATGATACTTATATCTCACGTACTATTTAGTCTAGTATGTTGAATAATCAGCATATCCTCTACAGTGTACTACCACAAAATTTCTTCAAGGCGATCATAGACTTCGAACCCAAGTAGAATGTACATACTTTCGTTAAGTATACCCTACAATAACAGCTACTGTTTTTTCTTACAATGTTTAAGTCCATCTACGCTAAAAAAAGAACGAGATAATATAGCGTTTATTTTTTGCAGATGATAATAATTACAGTTTGCATGACTTCACACTTCTTCATTAGTGTCGGCTGTTAATTTCTAACAAATTATTGTTAATATTTAAAGTATTCTAAATTATTAACTTGTGTTAAAGAAATTGATAACAAAAAGCTCTCATTGATAATATTTAAAATAATCTCGTAATTTTAGTCCTATTAAGAAACTTAATCGAATTTGGTTATCATTTCACAAGAGAACCTCCCTCCCCCTCCCCCGCCCCCTTTTCAAGCGTCCAGTTGCTTTCCTTTAGACATGCACGATTGTGGGTAATTTTTGATGCTGATCACGAATTTGATATCCGTTTCTGCTAGGCCTTTCTGCGGTGGGTCTCTGAAATTCGGGTGTTTGAAGACCTTCTATGAACTTCATGCTGAACGTAATTTGGCACTGCCAGATTGTAGAGCACGATGATTACCTATGTGGGAAATAAACAGATTTTCGCAGAGATAGAAAAATTTTACTTTCTAATCCAGTAGGGGCCCAAAATAGTTCAGCTTTTTGAACCCTAAACTTTTTCTACCTCTGCGAAAACTTGTTCGTTCGTTCTAGACATTTTACAAATAGGTAAGTCAACGTGCTCTACAATCTGACAGTCCTAGATATGTTCAACATGAAGTTTATAGCGGGCCTCGGACACCCGGATTCCAAAGACCCACCCCAGAAAGCCCTAGCAGCAGAAACGGATATCAGATTTGTGATCAACAACAAAAAATACCCGCAATCGTGTATGTTTTAAGAAAAAAGAAACTGGACACTTGGGAGAGTTTGCGCGTCAATAAATAATAATATAATAGTATTTAATATAATAATAATATATACAATAAAATAATCTTATTTTAAATCTCTCTGAGGTTTCGCTTACATTTGTCAGAAATCTTGGACAAATCTGACTAAAGTCACCCAAAAAACTTCTAATATTTTGCGAAGTTCTTACCAAGGTATAAGCTGATTTGTGTCAGATTTGTGTAAGAGTAGGTAAAAATCTGTTAAGGTTATACTACCAATTGCTCTATTTTTAATAATATTCATTCATGTTTTATCGAGAATTTCTAATATCTGTAACCTTTATGTAAAAAAACTCATTTCTGGTATGATAATAATATTGTTTGTAATGTTTATACGTTGAAAAGGCCTTCATCAGACATTAAGAAATACGAACAAGCAGTCAGTTATGTCTAACTAACAATTTTGTTTGTATTTTTAATCAATAAGCCATATTAGCCTAATGATAATATTGTAAAATATCGATAGCTTACTTTTTTAAGTAAAATAATTTTACGAAAATATTTTTAATTATATTAAATGGACTTAATTTTATAAAACATAAAAAAA